TCAGCAGGACCTTTCTCAAAGGGAAAAAGATACTTGTCCCATTTTACCTTGGGTCTTAAATGGGCTCCAAGGTTCCTTTCATACCTGTAAGGAAGCAGCAAATATGTAGAGCTTCACTGGCATGGTGCCAGACCCAGAAGCACCCATGTCTTGGAGTGATGCCAGGTAACATCAGCAAAGTCCCCTCTAATCATTTCAAAGCTGAACAGAAGTTTATTAGGTGATGAGGCTATTTCTGCTAAGTTGGGTGCACATCAGGAATAGAAGGGGAAGATGGTGCCATGAGCAGGGCACATACATGAGCAAGTCATCCTAAGAGCTACAAGAGCTGTGCTCCTGCTTTTTCAGGCCACCATGCACACTAAAATCAGCACTTCATCCTTTTACATCCTCATTTTGCATGATATCCCCAGATTTTGTGGGGGCCCCTAGGAAGGTGAGGCAGATACAGAGGTCAAGGGCCTGAAGACCAGGCAGAGCAGACACAGGACTGGAAACTCTGCCATAAGCCAAACACTCCTTGTGCCTCCTTGGTAGGTTCGTTCTTCACACAGACCCTCTGCCTGGAGGCCACAACCCTCAAGCTGGAGATCTGGGACACAGCAGGCCAGGAGAAGTACCACAGCGTCTGCCACCTCTACTACCGAGGTGCCCACGCTGCCCTCCTCGTGTACGACATCACCAGCAAGGTGAGCACGGAGCCACTGCTGAGGGAGAAGGGAAGAGGCTGGCAGCTGTGCCATGCTGGAAACCCAGCACTGTGGGCACAGCATCACACAGCTCCTGGGCAGGGTACGAATCCCCACTCTCCTGCTGGTGGCCATCCGAGCACCAGATCCATAGGCTTGTCCCAGCAGGTGCAGACTGACCACAGGCTCAGGCAAAGGCAGCTGGGTGCTACTGCCAGGCATTTTGGTCTGTCTCTGCAGGAAACACTAAGCAGGGCCAAGCTGTGGCTGCAGGAGCTGGAGAAGGAGTTCTTCCACGACGAGATCGTGATAGCCTTGGTGGGCAACAAGGCAGACCTGGCAGCCGAGCGAGAAGTCACAACTGAGGTAAGCCCTGCTAGCCAGCACACAGCACCCAGCAGGTGCCTGCCAGGCCTCCCTTTCCCTCCTTTCAGCACCCACAGGCATTAAGTTGGATCCTGCTGAGCTGTGTCACAGCACAAGCACAGTAACACTTCCTGGATATAACTCTGCTTTTCCCTAACTAGGAAGGAGAAGAGTTTGCAAGGAGCAGGAACCTGCTGTATATGGAGACATCTGCAAAATCCAGCTACCAAGTGAATGAGCTCTTCACAGCAGTAGGTAGGTCAATAGTAGTAGAGTGGCTGACACAAGCCACTGCTCCAAGAAAATTGCTTGGAGAAGCCACTAGGCCTTTCGCTGACCCTGAGCATGGTGACAAAAACTGTCATCCAAAGCTGAGAGCTTTAACGTGCCACAGGGGCTGTGCCCCACACATGGGAGCAAGGGCAGGGGCTGCCCAGGACAGCACAGGGTATTCAAGTGCACAGAAACAACGGTGGCCCTACACCATAGGAAAGCCTGTCCTTCAGCAAACACGTATTTTGGGGAAAACATTACAGGTTTCACCATCTCACAGCAGCTCCCAGGGTCCTGGACAAAACAGTGAAGGGTTCCAATGCAACGTGCAAGACAGCCCAAGGACAGGCCCATCCAGGGCTGCTGCAAGGCAATCTGGGACACACTTCAGGCCCTCACCTGAGCAAGCCCCAGTTTTCTTCTAGTGCCTAATCTAAGCTCAGCAGTTTGCCCAGTACAGCTTTTCAGAGAGACTTAATGCAATTACACCTCTTGATTTACATCACCCAGGGCCATGGGATTGGGGGCAGCAGGGACATCCTTCCCCCGCCACCGAGAGGAGGCGCCGATTTAGCACTTCTCCCTCTACCATTGCCTCCTAGCTCAAGAGCTTGTGGCTCGGGAAGGCAAGAAGGCAGCAGTGCAGTACACAGCCCTGGCAGACCTGCAGGAGCCCAGGGCGCCAGGGCCCCAGTGCTGCGGGCTCTGAGCAGCAGTTGGACAGCAAGCAGCACTTCGGAGAGGACAGGCAGCTCTTGTGCTCACCACCACCAGCAAACTAATGAGCTACCACAAAGCACAAGGTGACTCAGATGGCCAAGGCCAGCTCAGGCCGCTAATCCTTTCCCTGGCCCTGAGCAGGTTGGAAATCTGTGCATGGGCCATCTCAACAGCTAAACCAGCTGTTTCCTGCAAGAGGAGGAGCATCAGTTTCCTCCACCACTTTTCCAACACCAAGCACTATCACAAAGAGGCTTTTTTAATTCCCAATGTGCTGACAAACCCCTGGGGCACCAGCCTGCCACCCCAACCACAGGCTCCACTCCAGGTGCAGGGAGGCACCTCCTTAGTGTCAGCTCCCATCCCAAGGGGGATTTCAGCTTTCCCAAGTAAGGAAAACACCACCTGATGACTTCCAGCCCAGGCTACAAATAAAGATTTTACCCTAAAAGGATGTGCAGTGTTTGTTCTTTCAAGGGGGTATTTCTGAAGGTGCTGCACCCTGCAGCAGGGCAGCAGCTTTGTGCAGCCACATCACTGCTGAAGCTGATGCCCAACAGAATCCCAGTGAAACTTTGGCACCAGCCCAAAGCAGATGCCAAGTGCCACACCAGCACCAACCAGAAAATTGTGCTGAGCACAGCCTCCCTTCCCACACTGCCCAGACACTAGCGAAAACCTTCCCAAATTACTACAGGAAAAGGGCCAAAGGGCTCATTCTGATAGAGCAGGAGGTTTTCCTGCTCCTTCCCACCCACAGAAAGCTCAAGCACCCCTGGAAACACAACCCTTGTCCCTTTGAGCACCACAGCAAGTGTGGGCCAGGATATTTAGGACCCACCTGCATGATACATCACAGGGTAGCAAGGAGCACCCAGAACCCTTCCCCAGGAAGAAGCAAGACTCTTTTTCCTTCCTGCTTATATCCCTGTTCCTTAACTGGTCTTAATTAGCACCAGATGTGCTAATTGGCTCATCAGCTGCCCCCTGCATCTGCCCCGCCTCCTGCAGTTAACCCTTCATCTGCCAGACAATCCTAGCAGCAGGATCAGCAGGAGGGAGAGGAAACACCTACGACACCCTGGTGTGAGAGTGGGGCTCAGCTTGTCCTCGTCCTCACGTGCAGCATCGGGCTTGCTCCTGGCTCAGACCCTCCTCTCCCCCCAGCCTCTGCTTTTTCCCTGTCCCTGAATTACGCAGGGTGGGAGCAGGGGATAGAGGAGCTCCTCTGGGGCCCAGGGCACAGATTGAGCCACGAGGCTGGGGGGATGTGACAGAGGGCAGCGCATGGGGCTGCATTCAGGGAGGATCCCCGCCCCCCATCCACTTTGACCAGCTGCAAGTCACAGACTTCAAAAGACATCAGGGACTGAAAAATTGGGTATTTGGGGTGAGCAGAAGGCAGGGATGTGCAAATCACTCCCTTCAAGGGGGTGTTCATGCTGGCTCTGGCACAATGGTGCCAGTGATGCAGTCGCCGCAGGGCACTGCCCAGCACCAGGCATGTGGACGGGGATGAGATCAGGGCACCATCAGGTCCTGGGGGCATTTCCAAATCCAGGGCATGGGAGGATTTCTGAGCACCTCAGGAGGTGCCATATCTCACTGCGGGGCTCTGAGGGCAGTCAGGTTTCCTGGGATCTTGAGGAAACAGCTAGAGAAGTTGCTGAGCCTTGAGGGCTTAGTTTTGGGGATGACTCGTGCCGTATGACAGCGCTCTGGCCCGCAGAGGAACCGGTCCCGCTGCGTGTCCTGTCGCCACCAGCACCACGTGTGCTACCTCCCTG